GGGCCCCCACCGCCACCCCGTCCGCTCCCGCGGCGCCGCCTGGGTTTCCGAGTCCCGGCCGCTCCAGCGCACAGTTCCGGAGTGGAGGGAGGAAGTCCCATCCCAGCTGCCAGGTTCCCCCCTCCTCTCTCCGTTGCGCTTGCGAGGAGTGCCTAGACTCTTCTTCCTCCGCCCCTCCTGGGAGGCAGCTCGGGACCGCAGGACTTGACTCCCCACCCCTCACTCTGAGAGGGGGAGGAGTGAGGGAAAAAGACATCTTGTTCTCACAGCTGCAGGTTGCCCAACCGAGGGCATTTATTTGTCTGTTGGGGAGCAGAGTGCACGCCAGAAAACCCAGGTGTGTTTGGAATAACATAGCATTTAACACAACAAGGAACACTTTTACGGATAACAAAAAATAGCATTAAAAATTAAAAGCAATTACTTTCCGATTTTAAAAAATTGGCCCACGTTTTCCATGCTCTCACAAGGGATCCGACAGAGCTGCTGAAGAGGCAGCAGCGATATTGTACGACCCTGAGTCAAGGCATCAGATCAAACTCAATCTGGACGTCCTCGTGAGTATAGAAGACAGCGATATTAGGGCTCCCCTGCGAGTCCCCTACACGGCAATCAACCCAGTCACATTTGTTCTAAGAGAATTGAAAGGCTGGGAAACACGGAGTACGTGATACTAAAGAAAAGCTATAGAGAATGTGGAGGTAGGGCTTTTAAAATTTGTATTTCCTCAAAGCTGTTGTAGAACTAGACACATGGTAGCTGGCCTTGCACAAGCTCATGGTCCTCCTAGCAATGTCCTCAGAGAGGCAGTTAAATCCAACACCCAAAAGAGAAGTAAAGGAAAACCCCCATCAAAATGACCCTCAGGTTTTGACAAAGTAGTCCCTGACAAAATGTGACTGTTAATTAGGACAGAACTGAAAAGTAGAAGTAAATCCCCTACAGAACATGTGGGAACTGAGTGATATTTCTCACTGGAAACCAAGAAATCTGCAGAGGATCAGAAGGGGTCAGCTCAGAAGCCTGGACCTAACTGGGCAGGTTAGAAGCCACATGAAGAGAAGAGCCCTGTGGGAAGAGCAACCAGAATTGACCTCCCAGAGAGGAGGGACCTCTGTGGTTGAGAACTGGGAGGCCACTGACAAAGATCCTCTGAGTGAAACTGAGGAAGAGGAAGAGCGCTGTAATCAGGGAGATTTGGATGCAGTGGAGCAGGGGCCAGGGATGGCAAGAAAATACTCCTTCCAGAAATATTCACTGGAACCTCTCCCTCTCAGACATGCTGCCAGACCCTGTAATTGCAGAGAAGAATGGGAGATGGGCCCTGCCCTGATGAACTCACAGGTAAGCAAATAGGTACAAAGGGTAGTGGGAGTCAGGGTGGAGACAGTGGGGATGCACAGAATTAAGGTTGGGTTCCTCAGGGAGGGGACTGAGAAAGCCCCACAGAGCAGCTGTTGCTTGACTGGGGCTTGGGAAGTGAATATGTGTTTGCCACCCGGTCAAGTAGAGAGTCATGTCCGGTAAATGGATCAGCATGTATGACGTTGTTTAGGGCATAGGGGATGCAGCCGACAGAAGTCAGCCTCCTGGGCACAGAGCAAAGTGAAGAAGGTTGGAGAGGGGATCTGGAGGGGCCAGTGGAGAATATGTCACACGATGGTGACAACTTTCTACTCTTCCTCATCTCTGGGTACTCCTCACCTCTTTTTGGTATTATGGTTTGAATTGGGTCCCCCAAAATTCATATGTTAAAGTCCTAATCCCCAGTACCTCAGAATGTGACTTTATTTGGAAATAGAGTCATCGCAGATATAGTTAGTTAAGTTACAGTAAGGTCGTTAGGGTGGACTTCGATGCATTGTGACTGGTGTCCTTTTAAGAGGGAAGGTTGGACATGGACACACACACACAGGAAGAGCACCTTGTAAATTTTGGAGTTATGCTGTCACAAGCCAAGGAACTACCAGAAGCTAGGAGAAAGTCCTAGAACAGATCCTTCCCTAATGCCCTCAGAAGGAACCAATCCTACAGACACTTGGGTCTCAGACTTCTAGCCTCTAGAACTGTGAGACGATTTCTGTTGTTTTAAGCTGCATAGTTTGTGGTACTTCATTATGGCTATTCAAACAAATACAACTGGCTCCCTAAACCTGTCCATACCTGTTAAGTAGCAAGTCTCTCTAGCCATTCTGGGTTGAATTCTGTTCCCTGCCAGGACCCCAGGAAACCCGTTTCCTCAATAGGGAATTCTGGCTGGCTCCTCACCTATTTGTGCATGCACAGGGAGCAAAAGAGATGTAGTAATCTGTGGCACACAGAGCCAGCAAGATACTCAAATTAGCACTGTTGGTTAGTATGAGGGGCTGATGGAGGACAAGGCTTTTGGGCTCTTGCTGCTGCTGCTGCACTTGATTGCTATAGCAACCCTGATAACTACAAAGATCGTAGAGCGAGATGGCTGTTCCTGACTGCCCTAGAGAGTTTATTTGTTTGTTTAAAGATAAGCGTGAAGTATTAAATTCCCATCTCAAGGTATAGATATGGTGAAATTGAAAGAATCCTTTATCTGGTATAGACATAGAACAGACAGGGGTCATATTCCGATTTCAAATACAGTAGTTCCGGTTACAAATTGTTGCAAAGGTTAAGTGTTCAACTTGAGCAAATTCTCTTCCTGCAATTAGGACACGTGATTGGGAAGTAGAACCATAGACTTGTGATGGGAATATTTGAAGGGATGCAGACAAAGTAATAATTATGTGACACAATAAAGGTGTTAGCTAAAGCTACAATGGTAATCATATTGCAATATAAATGTCAAATCTATATAGTAGTCTTCCTTTATCCTCCATTTCAGTTACCTGCTGTTAACCGCCGTCTGGAAATAGATGATCTTCCTCTGATCTATGGACAGAAGGCCAAGGGTAGCCTGATTCTATATCACAACACCATTATTCACCTCACTTCATCTCATCACATGAGCATCTTATCATCTCACATCATCACAAGAGGAAGAAGCGTGATACAGTACAATGAAATGCTTTGAGAGAGAGACTACATTCACATAACTTTTATTGCATGGTGTTATCATTAGCTATTATTATTAGCTATTATTAGCTATAATTGTTAATCTCTTACCGCCTAATCTATAAACTAAGCTTAATAATAGGTATATATATAGGAAAAACATTGTATATATAGGGTTCAGTACTATTCATGATTTCAGGCATCCACTGAGGTCTGCAGGTTAAGGGGGACTACACCTTAAACTTACACAATGTTATATGTCAATTATACTGTATCTCATTTTTTTTAAGATTTTATTTTTAAGTAACCTCTACACCCAACGTGAGGCTCATACTCTTAACCCAAGATCGAGAGTTGCATGCTCCTGACTGAGCCAGCCAGGAGCCCCAATTATATCTCAATTTTTTAAAAAGCAAGTCGGATGCAGAAACTTGAAAGAAATAAGAGACAGAGAATAACAGAATTAGAATAGAAATTGACAAAATTATCCCCAAAGGCTATCAAAAGATGTATCAAAACAAACGTGTAACTGAGAAAAATAGGTAAATCCAAAAGTCAGATACTGAAAAATTAATACAGGCTCTAGAAAAATTGATCAACAGAAAGAAAAAGAGGGAAGATTCAAAATAGAGCTTCATAATGCAAAAAAATAGAAATCATCACAGATCCTAGAGTTACTGAACAAACAATACTAATGTATTATTAATAATACTTTAAAAAGCTGAGTTCCCAAATCCCAAGCTTCCCTTGCCAACAGAAGTAGCATTTCTCTATATGAGAAAACTATCATTCACTAATTGGAAGAGCTTTCAAGACTTCATCTGAGGCCTTTGCCTATTCTCCTCAAAACCTGCCCACATGGCACCTCACCAGCTCCAGGGCCCATAGTAAGAGTAACTCCCAGCATAGCCCAGGAAGATGATTGCACGGTCTCCTGGGGCAGGGATGGAAATAGATTTATACACCGAGGGAGTTAGAATATCTTGCCAATATGTATTGGGAGAAAGCTGACAGTCATATATGGGCATGGAACATAAAGTGTTAAACTGAGGCACCTGGGTGGCTCAGTCAGTTAAGCATCTGACTTCAGCTCAGGTCAGGATCTCACAGTTTGTGGGTTCAAGCCCCGAGTCGGGCTCTGTGCTGACAGCCTGGACCTGATTCAGCTTCTGTGTCTCCTTCTCTCTCTTCCCCTCCCCTGGTCATGCTCTGTCTCTCTCTCTCTCTCTCAAAAATAAACATTAAAAAGTTAAAAAAAAAAAAAAAAGAAGTGTTAAACCAATGGGCCCCTGGGAGGCTCAGGTCATGATCTCATGGTTCATGAGTTTGAACCCTGCATCGGGCTCTACACTGACAGTGTGGAGCCTGCTTAGGATTCTCTTTCTCTCCCTCTCTCTCTGTCCTTTCCCTGCTCCCATCCATGCTGTCTCTCTCTTAATAAATAAACTTAAAAAAATTAAAGTGTTAAACCAAGAAGTATAAAATATAAGGTTGGATTCAGCAGAATTTATGAATAAATTTTGTACTCAGGATTCTTGATAAAATATGTCATATTCAGCACCTGTGAGTGGCTCAAAGGTTTGATTCCTTAGTTTATTGAAGCCTAGATTTAACAATGGCCTATAGTCAATGAGGCTGAGATGCCAAAATTTCCCTGGCATATTATAGATTGAGAAAAGAGTCTGAAGATTCTGGAGATAGGAATGTTTGAGTGGATATGTTATATGCAACCTACTTGGCCACCAACCCACAACCATATCATGCATCTTCATCAAGACATTAAAAGATGTAGGGAATTTCTTCTACTAATGGCAGTTAAAGACCAATCTTCCTGCTGAAAACAATCATAAAAACTGGATAAAGTATAAGAACAAATCTGTTTCAAGTCATGAAAGAACTGCTATGGCAGCAAGGACTTGAAGGGATATGTACCTGGGAGAGGTGAAACTGACATATAATCAAGTTCTTCCCTTCAAAGTATGTGCTGATTCCCAAGTTGCAGCTCAGAGACCAAGAAGCCAAGCATATCTTCTAGAAGTTTACAGGCCCAGAGGGACAAAAATTGGAGTTGGGATCCTCAAAGTGTTACAACTCCCAGTGTAGACAGGAACCAGAAAAAGACAAGACTTCCCAAAGATTAGACCTGCCCAGCCCACAAGCATCTCAATGCCTAACTAAAATAAGATCTCCCCCAACCATAATTACCTTCCAGGAGCAAAAATATATCCTCCCAACAGATGATAACACCATCCAGAGCCTCAGTTTTTTTCTTTGATCTTTCATATACCATATCAGCATCAATATATTACCAGGCATAATAGGAAACAAGACCATATGACTAAAAAGAGAAAAAAATCAAAATCTATTAGTAAGAAAGTCACAAAGTAGACAGATATTGGATGGAATTGCCAGATGCAGAATGGGATTATATATAAATGATAAGTTCAAGGATTGAGATGA